CAGGATTCTGAGAAACGAAACACGGAAAAGACTTCACGTTACTAAAAAGAGGAAGATTCGCTTCTGTTGACCAGATGCCTGCCAAATTAATTGAATTCTGCTAAATAATTAAAATGATAACATAACTTAGTAAATGTGATGGAGCATTATAGAATGTCTAGGTCAAGGCAGCACTTGATACATAAAATTAAAAGCAGGCTCGGATATTTTCCATTATCTTGTCTGCACACCGTAATTATCACATTGCCTTTTATGCATGGATGCTTTCATCTTTGGATTCTATTGAAATTCTGATTGACGGCGGCACCTACAGATAGTTTATCTGAACAACATCAGGCCCGTATCTAATAAAGCCAGCAGTTGGATTTTTGCCCTTCAGGCCTGTATCTAATAAAGCCAGCAGTTGGATTTTTGCCCTTCAAATGTTTTCTCATTGATACAGGGTTTTTTACCCCCCCAATTTAGTGTGAATATAATGCAATAACAAAAAAAATCTCATGGAAATTGTTGCAATTAAAAAATCTGTTATGCTTGTCTGTAATGCTAGGGCAGTATTTCCTAATTATTGGTTTGATACCAATTGAATGGAAAGTAAGGAGAAGAGGAGAGGTACAGTGTGTAAACATGAGTGACAGTTTAGAAGGTGCTCAGTTTTTAAAGTGTCCACGTTTCATATGTGTGGAAATTGGACTCTTATCTTTGCTGTTCCATGAAGTTAAACAGCATGTGGATTAAAGTGAAGGGGAAGGACTACATTCCATTCAACCTTTATTGTGGATATTAAAAAGAAAAAGGGGAGATGATTTACTTTGGTGAACGTTTCGAGTTCCTGAGAAAAATACGTGATTGAGATTTCTCTGCGGCCTGTTTTATACGTTGACAGGTTGGTGGGAATCTTGTTTAAGACGACAGCGTCACAAGACTGAGTTCTTTTACGTCTTTACTTAGAACACAGTTTGCAGTCTTGCTGCCTTATGAGAAAAGCAGTATTTCAACAAAATGGAACCAAAGAACAATTGTTTTGAAGAATTCATTGAGTTCCTGAATATAAGCTGTTGGTGTCTGTGTGTTTAATGCCTAGTAATCCTAGTGTAGCATAGTGGTTACAAATCAGGCTGTTAATCTCAAGGTCAGCAGTTTGAAACTACCAGCTGTTCCACGGGAGAAAGATGAGGCTTTCTGCTTCTGTAAAGATTTACAGCCTAGGAAACCCTGTACAGGATCGCTATGTGTCGGAACTGACTCCGTGGCACATGACCACCACCACCAAGCCTGGTGTGGTGCTGTAGGGATTCGCAAGATCAATGGTTCAAACTCTCTAGCTGCTCCTCAGAAACCCCGTATAGAATTTCTATGAGTCGAAACTGACTTGATGGCACATAACAACAACAACAACAATAATCTTGACAAAGGAGCTCTGATGATGCAGTGGATCAATTGCTAACTGAAAGGTTGGTGGTTTGAGGCAGCAGCCACCTCTCTGCAGGAGAATGATGTCCCAGTCTGCTCCGGTACGGATGGAAGCCTTGGAAACGCCATGGGGCAGTTGTCTTCTATCCTGTAGAGATGCTGTGAGTCTGGCTCAACGTGGTGGCAGTGGTTTGTTTTTTTGTATTTTCTATCTTGAAAGGGACTCCTGGTATGGGACTGTGAGCTCAGCACTGGACTGTGAACCACAAAGTCAACAGTTCAAACCCACCAGCTGCTCTTTGGAAACTCTATACAGTACAGGACTGCTACGAGTGGGAACTGATTTGATTAAACTTAACAACAAAGTGAGAGAGGACAGATGAGGCCATATTAACAAGGATCTAATACTTGATTTTATTTTTTTTTAATGGCATTTTCTTCTAGTAACTTTTTCAAATCCCAGTGAGTCTTAAACATGTCCGGTCCAGGCCTCTCTCCTTGATGTTAAACCAGTATTTCCACTTGCCTCTTGAAATTTCTACCTAGCTATCTTATATTTGGAGGCCTGGTATGGTGCTGTAGGATAAGCACTGGACTGCTAACAGCAAGGTCAGCGGTTCAAACCCACCAGCTACTTCTCGGAACGCCTACACAGGGTTGCTGTGAGTCAGAAGTGACTCGACATTTAAAAACAACAGTTTTCTGGTTTTATGTGTTTGTTTAGATGTTGAATACAATACTTTTGATAGACTTGTGTGATGGAGGATATGAACCATGTACTTCTGCAGAAATTCTGAGTTAAATTTGTTTTCAGACACATGCTCTGTGTGTAATTTGTGCTGTTGATGGTGTGTTTTCCAGGGTGATGTAAAATATAATTCCTGTTGTAAATATAGATTCGGAACCCATATGAAGTTCTTAATATACTGCAAATTACCTCCCTTCAGTGGTTTTCCAATTTAAATTAACTTATGACCAGCCACCACATTGTTCAGGTCCTGATTACAAATCCATATCAGAAGAAAATTAAATGGACTCTTCTTTCTTCATTGATTTTAATTTAAAACTTAATTCATTTACTGATGCACCAGGTTGCAGATTTGAAAAGTGTGATATATTCATTTGAGTTGGATTATTAAAATGTTTCTATGGTTTGAGAGTTTGGGGATATCCAGCTGGGGGGGGGGTCTTGCTTCCTGGGTTTAGGACTGGATACTTGCCTTAATCGATCCTTCTTCTCTGCCCACTAACCTCTGTGATCTTTTGTGGGGTAGATTATGTGGCTGAGTGTTTGATTCTATTTGTGTTAAGAATATGACCATGTAGGGCAAATGGAACTCTCTTTGTTTCCATCAACACACACTTACTTCCTGATATTCTTCACTCTCTTTTAAAATCTAGATGCAGATGGTTAAGTAGAACTATTAAGTTTTTCCTTCTTGCTCCGTATTCCCTAAAGCGGTCCTAGTGGCCTAGTGGGTTATGTGTTGAGCTGCGAACTGCAAGGCCAACAGTTTGAATGCACCAGCCGCTTTGCAGGAGAAAGATGAGGCTTTCTGCTCCCGTAAGGATTTACAGCCTTAGAAACCCTAGACAGGGTCCCTATGAATCAGTATCGACTTGACGGCAACCGCCCCACCCCCTGTTTTCCTAATGGGTTGTTTTCTGACTATTGGATTGATTTCCTTCCTAATAGTTACGGCGTCAGCAAAACAAAAGCAAACAAACAAACCCCATGACGGTTGAGCATATTCCCACTCACAGCAATCCTTTAGGATAGAGTAGAAAGTTCCTTACAGGTTCCAAGTCTGTCATCTGTACGGGACAGATAGCTGCATCTTTCTCCCTTTGAGCTGCTGATAGGTTTGAACCGCTGACCTTGTAGTCACCAGCCCAACACTTGTGGCGTTGTTAGGGCTCCTTGCACCAATAAAGCATTATTTACTTCGACACGTGACACGATTCCATACTCCCAGGTTAGCATCCTTCCATCACGTCACCTTCCTGTGGCAGGGGAGCAGGTGAACAGCATCGTGCTTCCCCATGGGCTCCACACAGGTTTTCTGTGCCTTCTGTTTCTCCCTGATTCTCCGGGTACTTCTCCTCTCGGGCTGTCCCATCCTTGTCATCTCTCTCCTGTTGCTTGTCTCCTTCTCCGGTGTACTTGCACGAGGAAGGTGAAGACCGGGCGGCGAGTTCATTCATTTCCCTCTAGCCTGAATCTCTGAGCAAGTGGGAGGCTACTAGACTAGATAGCAGGACTGAAGCCAGGAAACGGAGAGCAGCTGAGGGTACACAACATTCTGCTGCGGGGAAGGGTTGTGGTTGTGTTGCTCCCTTCCCTTCCCTTCTCGGAACTCTCCTGCAGACAGGCTGGTGAGGCCGGTTGTCGAGCATTTGACTGCTGTTGGTCCTTGAAATCATCAACTTGTTAGATGCTATTCAGTCAGTTCCGACTCATAGTGACCCCGTGCATAACAGAATGAAACACTGGCCAGTCCTAGGCCAACCTCACAATCGTTATCACTAAGCCCATAGCTGCTGCCACTGTGTCCATCCGTCTCGTTGGAGATCTCCCTCTTCTTCACTGACCCTCCACTTTATCAAGCATGATGTCCTTCTTCAGGCGCTGGTCCCTCCTGAGAACATGTCCTAGCAGTTAGGGCTAAGTTGATCAGGAAGAAGCAAAGAATGATATGTGTGCTGTGTGTCAGGTTTTGGGATTAAGTGCTTCTGAAACTGTCTCTTCAAGGATTGTAAAAAGAGAGATTCTTGGTTAAAACTATACCTTTGTTGTGCGTTGCCATGGAGTTGGTCCCTGTGCACAACAGAATGAAACGCTCTGCCCTCCTCACAATTGTTGTTATGTTTGAACCCCTTGTCAACCTGTGTGGTGCCTTAGTGCACCGTATCCATCCTGCAGCTGTTACATAAAGAGAACTTGGCTCCTGCTGACCCCACGTGGGTCGGAGTAGAACCTGATCCACAGCGCTCTGCATGGCTGACATCAGATCCTATATTGAGGGCTTAACACCCCCCTCCCCTCTCCCCACCCTGTGCTACTTGGGTTCTAGCAGATATTGTTGTTAGGTGCTGTCGAGTTGATTCTGACTCATAGCGACCCTCTGGCACAACAGAATGAAGCACTGCCCGGTCCTTTGCCAGCCTCACAATTCTTGATGTGTTTGAGCTCGTTGATGCTGCCAATGTGTCAGTCCATCTTGTTGGGAGTGCTTCCTCTTTTCCGCTGACCGCTCACTTTCCCATGATGTCCTTCTCCTCACAACCTAATATCACAGCAGATATTAGGCAGGTTGAATTAAAATGTGTTGCAAAAACCACAGTGAAATTTGATTTTGAAGGTTTAGCAATTTTAAATGTTCTGAAAACAGTCCTGCAGTATGAACCTTTGGGGGTGTAAATATGCAGCCCATGATCTTGAAGAAGTCTGATTCTCATTTTTGGTGCCGGACTTTTTTTGTTTGTTGGTGGCGTGGTTCTGTATTGTGTGCCTGTAAGAATACTAGACTACAGAGGAAATGAGATTTTATGTTGAGACAGTGCGGTTAACATTTATCATTTCTCTTTAGGGTTTTTCCCAAACAGCTCTCAAGGGTGTGAGGCATTTCTTCGCCACAAGATGACGCTGATCTCCCCCTCAGTGCTGAAGAAGTACGGCATCCCCTTCAACAAGGTACGATACCATCACTCTCGGACACATGCGTTTTGTGTGTGTGTGTGTATTTAAGATGAAGTTAACACTGGCAGATGGATCTTTGACTTCAGTTAGCATGCTTAGGGAATGGGCAGAAAAGTTCACCATCATGTTTGATAACATATTTATTTATTGAAATGTAAATTGGAAATTAATTTTATTTCTGGGTACATTTGCTAGAGATTTCATGCTGGTTAATAGGCTGAACTGCAAAGTCGGTTTGAACTGCAAGGTTGGCGGTTCACGCTCACCAGCTGCTTCTCAGAAACCCTATACGGGGTTGCTATGCGTTGGAACTGACTCAATGCCTTTAACAACAACATAGCTCACATATAACACAGACAATGTAGCATGTCTGCATTAAAAATGCAGCCTTTTACACAACACGATTTCTGTTGTATGTGGTCTCTTGTTAAAAAGGGATTCACAGCAGTGACTATTAGCAGTAGGGTTGGTTGAAATCATTGAGCATGGAACCACTCTGTTGCCACATGGTATCCTGGTGTGACGATGTACGATAAGCACTCCACTCCAAGGTCTGTTTGAACAGCAAGGTCGGCGGTTCATCGTTATGGGTCGGAACTGACTTGACAGCACTTAACAACAACACCAACACATTTATACGTACTACAGCTGAGATTTCATGATGGATAACTGAGGATTCAGTGACCTTACTTCTTTGCAGTGTTTCTGCAGACTGAGTTTTACAAAACTCAGTACAAACCACATCCCTTTTTCTTTGTGTCCGTGGATGGTTACCGAATCAGAATTATTACTGAGCGTGAGCATTTGTATGTGGAAAAGCTGCACTGAGACAAGCTTTGACCAGAAAAATAAAAGCCCTCTCCTGGCTGAGGAGGATTAAGTACTTAGCTACTTGCAGAAACATGAAAAAAATCGCTCCCTGTTCCTTACCATTTTTCAGTTGACTTTTCTTCCCATAATCCTGCTGTTTCCCAACTTAGAAGCTTTTCACTGGCGACTAAAACTTTACCACTTATTAATCTTGGGTCCTTAAAGCGCCAGTTTTTCATTCCTTTGTCTTGGGGCCTTGTTCACAGAAGTTTTCTCAGTTCCTTGGAGAAGGGCCTTGTTCCTGGGCACCTTTACTCTCTCACAATTGCCTGTGTGGGAGCCGTTCGGGAGACACAGCTGTCTGGTGATGAGGATTGATGGTGGGTACCAGTAGAGTGGGATAGAAGACCTCCTGGTCTCAGTGGATGGCAGCAATCTCTCTCCCACACCCCTAGTGGTGCTAGAAACAGGAACAGATGAGTTAATGCCTATCATTTCATCCAAGGAAGGACAGCCTAGTGCCTAAGCACAGTTATAATTCATGAAAATCATTGAGACCGGGGAGGAGAGATGCAGGTGGTAGTTCCATGTGGCTCAGAGTCACCACTCAGTCACCGTGTCCAGTGCTACAGAGCCCCTCTGCCTCCAGGTGACAGCTGAGCTACCGGCTGTCACTGGCTGAGGGCGGGGACAAGCTAGATTTCAGGAGTGTTGGAGAGGGAAGGCACTTGCACAGGTATTTAAGTGCTGTCCAGGTAAGACTTCTGTCTCCACATAGCTTTACAGTCCCGGAAACCCTATATAGGGTCTCCAGGAGTTGGGATTAACTTGATGACATCTAACAACAATCGCTGCAGACAGGATTTAACTTGACATTTGACCCAGAATAAGGGGTATTTCTGACTTTAAGAGATGAATCGTGGAATCTTGTCTGGATTTTTAAATATGATGATAAATTCTTACTCCTTTCCCTCATCTGTTGTTTAAAAAAGTTGTTTAAAGAAGAACAGGTATCTGGTCAATTTCTGAGAGTTGTCTAAGCTGGGTACTTGTTTATACTTCCTTAATGGTTTTTTTATTTGCCCAGTGATTGGTGTGGGTGATGGTGACATCTGAACTCCCAGATGTCTTATGTCTATCATGATGGGAGAATATTTAAATACTCATGCGTTATTAAGATAATTCAAGAGTCAGGCCCTTTAAGAATATATGGGGTATGTATTATGGCAGGAAAGTTGATGATAAAATATAGTCTTTAACTTCATTTACAGTTGAAAGGCGAGGCAGAAGATGTAAGGCGAGAGAGAAGCAAAGAATACAGATGGTGATGTGTAAGACATTAATATTTTTGCCTAGGAAATATTCAAATTCAGTACTATTGTAGATCAACAGAAGGAGGTGGTTTAAAAAATATATAGCTTTGTTATACATTCACTAGAGATCTCATCTAAAGCATCAATACAATAAGTAAGTAAAAAGAGTACTGAAGTATGTACATCAATAAAGGGTATGAATAAATTTACTTCACTAACTTACAGCAAAGGTTTTCTGAAATAAAATATCCCACCATTCATCTGTCATTTTGCCATACTCTGGTGCCTTAGGTGTTGGTGTGATGCTAGATGCTTTGTTACTGGTATTTTCAATACCAACAAGGCCAGCCATAGCGAATCGCTTTCACTGGAGCTTCTAGACTGAGATCAACTGAGAAGAAGGTTCTCATGATCTACTTTCTAAAAACTTGGCCGATGAAAACCTTATGATCGCAATGGAACACTATTTTACATGGTGCTGGAAGACAAGCCACTTGGGTTGGAAGGCACTCAAAATATAACTGGAGAAGAGCTGCCCCCTTAAAGCAGAGTTCATCATAATTTGAATTTGAATATTTCCTAGGCAAAAACATTAATGTCTTATATCACCATCTGCAAGCATCCGTTCATAATCTGAGCAGGTTATGAGTTAGGATTCTAGGAAAATTGGAAGTTGTAGCAAATGAAATGGAGTATATAAAAGAACAGTCTCCCAGTGAGCTGAAATGGACTGGGCTTGACCTTTTGAATCAGACATTCACAAGTTCTACATCAGGGATGCCAAATTGAAGAGAAATGTTCACGCCAAAACGAACAATTCAAGAAGTATCCTGAATTACAACGTTGTTAGTGATTGCATAAATTCCATGTGCCTACAATGAAGACCAATTAATAAGACTGTTCATCAAATTTACATACCTACCACAAAGGCCAAAAATGAAGAAATTGAAGATTTTTACTAACTTCTTCAGTCTGAGTTTGATCAAACATGCAGTTGAGATGCGTTGATGATTACTGGTGATTTGGAATGTGAAACTTGGAAACTAAAACGAATTGGAAAATATGGCCTTGGTTATATTTTGGTGTTTTTTTTTTCTTTCTCATGCTGAAAGAGGAGTCCTGGTGTGGCACAATGAGGTAATGCACTGGACTGTAAGGTTGGTTTGAACCACAGGGTTGGTGGTTCAAGCTCACCAGCTGCTCCTCAGAAACCCTGTCCAGGGTCACTGTGAGTTGGAACCAACTCGATGACACTTAACAACAGCAACAAAAATAATGCTGAAAGAAGTGAAGAAAAAAAATAAAGACTTAAATTGCAATATTGAAGGATTTTATTCGCAAAATATAGAACAAAGCAGGAGCCATCAAAATAAGATGGAAGGAATTGGTCAACATTCATCTGCTTGTGATCGTGAACTGATGTTGTTGAAGGAAGAGTCTAAGCTGCCTCTGGAGATACTGGTGAAAAACAAGGGTCCAGAAATCGAAGGACTACCAACTGAAGTGTTTCAGCAATTGAATGGAGGTTCTTGGCTAGTCTATGCCAAGAAATGTGGAAGGCCAACCTGGAAGGCAGCTACCTCTACCTGGAAGAGATCTACATTTGTGCCCAGACCAAAGACAAGTAATTCAATAGAATGTGGAAATTAATGAACAACGTCATTAATATCACATGCAGGCAAAATTTTGCAGAAGATGAAGGAAAGACAATTCCAGCAACATATCAGCAGAATGCAGCTTCAGGATTGAAGGAAGATTCAGTAACAACTTGTAATAATGAGGATGACGTAAAGTTGCTTGCTGAAAGTTAAGAGGACTTGAAGCACTTACTGATAAAGATCCAGACAACAGCCTTCAGTATGGACTACATCTAAAGGTAAAGAAAACAGAAATTCTCACAAATGGACCAATAATCAGAAAAGATTGAAATTGTCAAGGTTTTCATTTTACTTGGATCCATCATCTATGCTCATGGAAGCTGCAGTCAAGAAACGAAACAACATATCACACTGGGCAAATCTGCTGCAAGAGACTTCTTTTTAAAGTTTCAAGAAGCAAAGCTATCACTCTGAGGACTAAGGTGCTCCTGACCCAAGCTATGGTATTTTCGATCACCTCATATGCGTGAGAAAGCTGAACAGTGACTTAGGAAGACCAGAGAAGAGTTGATGCATTTGAATTATGGTGTTGGCAAAGAATGTTGAATACACCATAGACAGCTGTTAGAAGAGACACATCTGTCTTGGAAGAGGTACAGCCAGAATGCTCTTTGGAAGTGAGGACCTTTGTCTTTGGTACTCTGGACATGTTATCAGGAGAAACCAGTCCCTGGAGAAGAACATCTTGTTTGATAAATTAGGAGAGTCGATGTAAAAGCAGAAGACTCCCAGGAAGTGAAGTAAAACAGTGGCTGCAGTGGACTCAGACACAGGAAGGACTGGGCAGTGTTCTGTTGTACACAGGGTCACTGTGAGTCGGAACTGACTTCACAGTACCTAACAGCAGCATTAGCAAACTCTCTGGGTAATTATGAATCGAATAATTAAATTGCCAGAAAGCCCCACCTTGCTTAGAAAAGTCCCCCCCCCC